AGTGATCATCTTTCCAAACATGTCAAAACACACCAGAATAAGAAAGGAGGTGGGACAGCTCTTGCCATTGTTACCTCGGGAGAACTGGACTCATCTGTTACAGAGGTGCTTGGCTCCCCAAGAATTGTCACCGTTGCAGCCATTTCTCAAGATTCGAATCCAGCAACTCCCAGTGTTTCAACCAACATGGAAGAATTCTGAAAAGCTATTTATAACAGAGACCTCTAGTGCTGCACTTAAGTTTACACACCTTTGAAAATCTGGAAATGGGCTGGTCAAGTGGATTAAGGAGTAGGAAATCATGATTTTATTCTTGGCTTCTTTTAAGTATTCCAGGGTTTTGGTTCAACACCTTAAGTGTTGAAATTTTTAAAAATACAAAAAGCAAACTGATATACTGGAAACAGATAGAAAAGTATTTCCTTCATGTTATAAATTATAGTTATTTGGAAATATATCACATAACCTTTATACAGAATCCTCCCCTCCTTAACATTATGTATTAATGTGTTTAAAAAGACAGACCTCAGTAATTTGCAGGCTGGACCTTAATTGGACTTATTTTCTTTGAAAGTACTTTGTTACAAATTCAGTCAGTAATTACATATATTTCCTTTTCTCTATAGCACAGAAAACTGTTATCTGAAGATAGGAATACTACTATATTTCCTCAGCTTGATTTTTAGAAAATCAACTCAAAATAGTTTTGGCCGTCTTTTCTAAATGTTAGAAATTCGTCAAAAGTTAAATTAGGTAAGTTCCGACACAGTAATCTGAGATACACCTCAGATCTTTATTACCACTACATTATAGTAGTGTGTATTCAGACAATCAGTGAAATCCAATTACTTTCTCCATTTTGGAGACACAAGAGGAACTTAGAGCTAAATCTTAGGTTAAATTGTTAGATTGAAAACTTAGGAAAATGGTAGGGGGAAAAATGGTTAAAACAGAACACATAATAGCTTCAGAAAGTAAAGTGAAGCAACTTAACATGCAGTCTTTTAAAGTTAGGACTGATTATATTCCTAACCCTAGGTTGAACCACAATATTTCATTTTAAATGTTTATATTGGAAATATTTGCATAGATAATAAATCATTTTGTAGTTTCATATTCTGTAAATATGAGTTATGTTGACAATGTGCAGAATTCTTTATGCTTTGACTTGATAGCCAAAGAAAGAATTATCACACTTTTTCAAGGCCAGCAGAAAATTATATTTTAACTGTATTATAATTTTTGCTTTCCTTTACTAAAAATTGGCCAACCCCATTTTATTTCTAGTATTGTTAGAATGTTAATTAGGAATTTATATCTTTATGGTATATCAGTAACTTAATTTTCCCTAAACATCTAGGCGGCCTAACAAATGTATAATAGATATGATATTATGAAGTAAAAATTATTTTTGAAAAGTCAGAATACTTTTCAAATAGTGACTAAAGATAAAACAAAGATATATTTCATTGTTCATGAAAGGGTCTTATAGAAAATGATTTTATTAGGAAAGATGGCCAAAAGTTTCATATGATAAAAATTGGATTATTCTAATAGCTTAAACAGTAAAAGTCTTCATTTTTAGTAAGTATTTACATGGAATCGTAAAATGAAATCAACAATTTGAAAACTAAAGTTTTTACCTGCTTGGTTTATTAACATCATTGGTTTGGGAACTGTTTGAAAATAGGTCCATGTTTTCTTACGCATTCTCTATTATTTCAGGAAAAGTACTAATGTGAATTCTCTTCCAAAATTGTGATGTTTCTTATATTTTTGATGAAGGATAAATACTGTAATGATCACTGTTTACACTATGTACACTTTAGGCCAGCCCTTTGTAGCGTTATATAAAACTGAAGGTCTTTTGTGCTTTCAGTTTGTATAAAAAAGCTTTGAGATTAAAGGAAAAAAATTTTTACACTGTGGTTATAAATTTCAAGTTTCTTAAAGCTTTTGTAGACTTGTAACAAAGTCTTTAAATTTTCGTTGGATTTTGTAAATTGTTTTGTATATTTTATTTAATGTACTCTTTAACAACTGATGTATCTGGCTTTAAAACATCAGAATTAGTTTGTTGTTTGGTTTGGTACAGAGGAGCATTTGGTAGTGTTAATTTTAATTTTGTTACATAGGAGCTGAAACATCAAATATATATTTTATCATTATGCTACACAATCAGTGCTATAAATTTTTTTATGCAAAGAAACTTTCTTAATGTTTTAATCATGTTTCCTCCAAGTGACGCTTTTTGTTTTTAATACCAAGTATGAGCATTCTGCATCATTATTCCCTGAACTAGTTTTAATGAAAATCCATGTATGTTCATCAGAAATAGAAGTTATTTTTTAATCAACAATGAGGCCTATTATAAATTTATCAAACTGAATCTGGATAGCTTTATGGCATATAAAATATATTAATTTGTGTTAGTAGGTGTACATTTCACCACTGAAATTAGAAATATTTTGACAGTCTGTTCTGCATACCATTCTGAATCCACTTTTCTGTCTTACAAGAATCGTAAATTTCACTGTCCTTTATTTGACTCAGTGGGATATAGCTGTTATAAGTAATAGGGCACAGATGTGCAGTAGAGTCTTGTTTAATGGCATTTCACTGTTCATTCCCTTTGCCACCATTATAAAACTTTTCTTTTTTGTAATTATCAGTGCAAAGCTATGTATTTATCATGGTAGAACTCCAGTGTTAGAATAGTTTTTTCTTACAGTATACTTTCTTTGGTTAGGTTTGTGTATGTGTTGCTGATTACATTAGAACTTGATGTTGTCATTATTTATCACACTCTCATGAGAGCAGTAATAAAAGTGTGTAATCTAGGAGAAAAAGTTAATTTGTCAAACTTAGAGAAGCATGATGTTTAGGTCCTATTTTTCAATTTTATAACTGTTTTATTGCAACAATATTTGTATTTAAGTCTCCATTTTAATGCCTTGTGATGTTTTTTTATGCATGTCACTAAGTTGTCATCCCACATAAATTGATGTGCAGCATAGGGTATTAAATCTACATAATGATTTTAAAACAGAAATAGTTGATGGTAAAATGTAAATGTTTTGCAAAAATTCCTTATAAAAAGTTTCGTAGTAACATTTCACTTGTAAATTTTTTGTAAAAAACAACAAAAAAAAGAAAATGAAAAAAAAGAATCCAGAAAAAACCTGTTTCCCATATCCTAGAATTTAGACAGTTATTCTGCCAGCAATGCCTCTGGGGCTGTAATTGACATTTTTACAGTGCTGATTTGTATAAAATTTGTTTTTTGTGGATTTGGAAATAAAATCATGTACAAGTTGTTGCCTGCAATAACAATTGCAAGTAACCTATTAAAAATTCCCTTGAGTTTAACACGTTTCATTTAATTATGTAAACTATAAAGCAGCAATAAATTGTTTGAACTATCAACCTTCTTATCACGATGAACACTGGAAAGTTTTAAATGCTTCTCACTAGGAAATGTATTGGCAACCCTTCATAATTCTCATATTAAGATCTGGTCACCATTTCTCTGAACATACTGCCAAAGAATACCAATTCAAATTGCATGTTAATTTGTAGCCATTGCTCTAGACTTTTATGGAAATTAAAATTTGATTCAGAGACACTTTTCACTAAAATATTTTTAAGCAATAAATTTGGGAAATTGTAGGAAGATCTGAAAACGAAAAACACTAAAATACTATTTAAGCTCACAGAAATACTATAGCACTATAGGCCACATAGATGCCACAACATCTATAAGCAAAAACTCTCATCCTCCCGGGAGAGCCCTACAAATCTCATGAAGAACTTTACTGACATAATGCATACATTATATGTAATGGCTTCTGTGAAACACATTTGGAGGGTAGGGGTGAGCTGGTGGGGGATTAGGCAGAAAAGGAAGTAAGCTGCCTCATAGGCAGACGTCTCCAAAGGGTCAAAAATCTGTCGTAAGGAGGGGCTGTGTTGTACATGAGTGGATTTTGCTTTTCCAGGATAGCCCCAAAGACGTGATTATATTACAGCTTCATATATATGTAATATATGTTAATATAAGTGAATCAAGGAACAGTAAATTGATAATTTCTCTGCTAAGTAAAGCAGGAATAAACTCATCAGAAGATTTTCTATTGCAAGTAGAGATGTATATACTTTAGTTACCTGAAAAATTTTAATTTGGAGCCATCAATACTATGAAAGAGGGAATAATGCATTTAGAAAACTAAGGCAATTTCATTGTTTATTTTTAATATGGAAACAGTTTAGTTTTTAAACAATTTCAGCCACATAAGACTAAGCAAAATGGAATAAATACACTTTATCCTGGATTGTTGACATTAAACCATTGTTACAATAAGAAAGCTGAAGCAGAGTTAATAACACTAGTATGGTATGGTTTAACCATGACATTGGTAAAGATGACCTAAAGATCATGGAAAATAATTCTGAATACTTTGTTTTCATTTTAAAATCCAGAAGCTTAATTATAGGGGTGCAGAGACTTCAAGTGTCTGTAAGAAACGTCAAATACTTTATTCCTCAATGAATCTGAATAATATATTGTGGTGTTTACTGCCCAAGCAGTAACATCTGCTTACGCATAACCAACTTGTAATTGCGTAGCAGGATTTTTAAGGCATGTATTTCCATTCTCTTAAGATTTGCTGATTAGCATAAGCCTTGGACTCTGCTTCTCTTAGTAGCAGGTGGCAGTGAAATAATTTATTTTTGGATACCTGAGTGAGAGTAATCTCTAGTGAAAGAACCAAGGAAGGGAGAGAGGGAAGGAAGGGAAAAAAGCCTCAAGGCCTGTTTATAACGCAGAAAGTTGATCTCCATGGTGATAGCAAAGCATGGTGACTGACAGAGCTCAATAGGAGCCCTGAAGAGTCCAGGCTGGGTTCCTGATTCAGCCACTTAGTAGCCATACATCTGTGGGCAAATTATGTAATTTTGCTACATTTCCTTCATTTACAATATTGGGATGATTGATTCATCAGCCTATTAAGATTAATAACTGTATCAAGCACTTGACAATACTCAGTAGATAGATTTATTACATTTAATTATGACCCAAAAGTCAGGGGTTTATCTTAATCCATTCATGCTACTATAACAAAATGACATAAACTAGGTAGCTTACAAATAATAGAAATGTATTCCTCACCATTTTGAAGGCTAGAAAGCCCACGGTGAAGGTGCCAGCATAATCATTGGTGAGAGACTGTTCCTTGGTTCATGTATTTGCTGGACACACTTCTAGCTGTGTGCTCATGGGTGGATTAAGCAAAGCAGCTTTTTGGGGTCTCTTGTAAGGACACTAATCCCATTCATGGGGGCTCCACTTTCACTTAAGTTGCCAATCCTTAAATCACTTAAAGTTCCCAACTCCTATTGATAATTAGACTTCAACATAAGAATTTTAGGCAGATGTTGGATTTGCAGTTGGATATTCCTGGAACTGATGTAGCTAAAGAAGCATCTGATATTCTCTCACAGGTAACAACTTTACAAGCATTGTTAAAATAGTTTATGTGGGGACAAAATGTTTACGATAGCATCTCAAAATTTTTGGAGTTCCAACTTACTGTTAACGTCGTAGCTGTGAGTGTTGCTTCCACAGGGACTTGTATTACTCAAGAAACATCTTTTCTAGGATTCACCACTTAAAGCTGTGCAGATGCAGTGGGTGAGCCTCATAATGGACGCACTCGCTTCCCTGGCTCTGGCAACGGAACCACCCACTGAGTCTCTCTTGCTTTGGAAACCATATGGTAGAAATAAGCCTCTCATCTCACGCACAATGATGAGGATATTTTGGGTCATGCATTCTATCAACTCATTTTTACACTCATTTGCTGGAGAAAAGTTTTTGATATTGATAGTGGAAGAAATGCTCCTTTGCATGCTCCTCCTTCAGAACATTACACTATTGTTTTTAATACCTTTGTGCTGATGCAAATTTTCAGTGAAATAAATGCCCAGAAAATCCATGGTGAAAGAAATGTGTTTGAAGGAATCTTTAATAACACCATCTTCTGCTCAATTGTTTTAGTCACTTTTGTGGTACAGATGTGGTGCAGTTTGGTGGAAAGCCTCTCTGTTCAGAGCTTTCGGTAGAACAGCGACTATGGTCAGTATTCTTAGGAATGGGGACATTACCCTGGGGCCAGCTGTTTTCAACAATTCCAACTAGCTGTTTAAAATTCCTGAAAGAAGCTGGCCATGGAACACAAAAGGGAGGAAATACCTGAGGAAGAATTAGCAGAGGATGTTGAAGAGATAGATCATGCTGAAAGGGAGTTGTGGCATGGCCAGATCTTGTGGTTTAGAGGTCTGAACAGAATCCAAACTCAAGATTCAAGTGGTAAATGCATTTCATAGTTCTTTATATGAAGGGTTAGAAAAACCAGAATCAAGTTCAATTCACAACTTTATGACACGTCCTGAGTTTAAGATAGAAGAGTCACAGCCTCATATCCCCTCATTGATGATACTGATACAGAAGATGGTGCTCCTGCAAAATGTAAACTCCAGTCCTCACCTTCTCCCAACAAAAATAGCAATGCTGTTGACAGCAGAATTCACCTTAAGACAATAGAAATGACCAAGTCTGCTACTTCTTCATCCCCAGGAAGCCCAGGACATAGTTTTGAAACATCACTCTGATTGTAAGCTGAATGTACTAACTGCATTGTAAAGAAACAAATTGAAACAGTCTTTTCACACATTGTGACATACAAGATGGTATTCTTGTCTTTAGACTTCAACAGAAGATGCATTTGTACAAATGTAGATTTTTTTTTTTAAAGCAAAGCTTTCTGCCAGACTGAGGGTGCTTTTTGGGGTGTGGGAGATATGAACTAACAGATAAACAGTAACTCCGTGTAAGTGACCCATGGATCATCAGTAGTATCCAAGAATGGTCCTGAACAGTATATTAGGAGAGCTTTAGTTTGTCTCAGTCCTTGATGGGAGAGAGGGAGGAGTAAACCTGGGCGAGACACAGAGCCCTGGATCATTGAATTGATACTTTAATTTCTGCTGTTGGCTGTTAATTTGGTTTATTTATGTTTATAAATGGTAAAGATCTGTTTACGAAGGTTTGTAGATACTGTTTTTGTTCCTGTCATAGATGAGAAGCTCCCTTATAACTGATGCACAGAAATATTAGTCCTTCAAATACTGCTATATTTTCAGGGAAAAGGGGTGTTTCTATTGAAACTGTACTAAATTTTTGTCTACAATTTACCTTGTTAAATATTGTAGATAAGTTGCTAATACTAAAAGCCAATAGATAACATTAATGCTTTGTTTAAAAAAAAACATGAGCAGTGGTGTTCTAATGAAGTTATGGCATCTGTCCTGATTAGTTTGTTAAATATATTTTACTTAATGGTTATGAAACAACTTTAATTTTTTAAATTTTTGAAAACTTGCTAATAACCTTTGTTCAGAATTTAGTAGATTGTTTAATGCAGGACATCAGCCACATAATGAAAGATGCTTAAAATGCTTTTGTTATTTCAGGCAAATCAAATTAAATCAAACTATCAAAACTACAAGAAAACTTGAGTCCTTTTTGTTTTTCCCTGTTAGTTCAGTGATGTCTTGGTGAACTGTGAGTGAACTGTATTGATTTTTCTAATCCTTCAAGACCTTCATAGAGCATGAGGGCTGTTGGCATTTTGAAAAAGGTTAATAAGTAGAAGCATACATGTTTTATTTTTGTTTGTGAAACTTGTTTGTAAACAAAAATATGCCCTTCTATTAAATAAAAAACATACAAATTTTGGGAAATACAAACATCCAGAGCATAATAGGGGTCATGGAACAGTTTCTAACTGGACCAGTGCTTTGAAAAGGAGCAAAAATACTTTGAAAATTTAACTCTCAAAATCCTATCTTAAAAAGGAAGACTTTAGAAATTCCCATTTCAAGCATATACACTTCTCAAACTATCTGTGAGATAGAATACTGTACCTCAAAATTATATGCTAGCAGCCCGGGGATTTAGCTTAGTGGTTCTACTGCCTGCCTCGCAAGCACAAGGACCTGAGTTCGATCCCCGGTACCAAAAGAAAAAAATTATATGATGGCAGTCTCTAGAATACCTCAATCCCCTTGCCTCACTGAAATAGACTGCAGAGCTGCTGGAGTGCATTAAGACTGCATTCACAGGTAGGAGTCAAGGTTCAGATACTATGGGCCCAAGTTAGATGAGCAGGCTTTAAGACAGCCAAGAAAGCAGATCTGGGAGCTAAACTAGTTAAAAGCAAAGTACAGGGAAGAGGAGGAAATTAAACGAGCAGTTGTCTCAAACACTGATTTGTCTTTGAATCATGCCTTGCTAGATAGTTGGCTTGATTCAGATTGTTATTTATTATCCTGCTGTGAAATGTGGTCTAATAAATATTTATGGT